GGATGTGCCCGCAACCAAGGTACATGCCCTTGACCGGAATCGAACCTGGGACCCTTGAGTTCGCAGGCCGACGCTCTATCCACTGAGCCAAACTGGTTCGGCTCCCTCTCCTTCATTGATTCTGTAAACAGCCCAATAACTTTTTGAATTGGTCAGTCATTACATATTTGTTCTCATGCCCATTCCCTGTTCTTTTTCTGAGAACTATGATCCCCAGCTCCTTTACCAACTGGATACCAGCTAGATTCAGTCAATGGGAGGCACCAGCAGGAGAATGAAGGATGGGAGAAAGAGAGAAGTCGGGGTAGTTCTTTCTCTTTCTTATTATCACTGTGGGAGCATGCTCCAGCAGTGGCTGCCATCTTCTACATGGTTTCTATTTCCCATCCTTTCTTGGACCCGAGTCCTGCTGTCCATTTCACTCCAGCCAAGCCCTGCTCTCTCCAGAGCCAAAACTGGTAGTTTGGTGTGTATTCTTTTAGTCATTTATGCTTGAATATATCTCTATCTCTATCTCTATCTCTATCTCTATACCTATCTATATATCTCTGTGTATAGGTGTCCCAAAAATGTATACATACACTTTGAATAATTATAAAGGCAGTGTTTATTAAAATACATTTCATTTTCAAAATTGAGTTATCAGCTGTTCAAGCGTGTATACATTTTTTTGGGGACACCCTGCATATGTCAACATCTATCTATGTAGTTGTTATCTTTCTACAATGAGAACAATAGGCATTTTTCTGCAATTTGCTTTTTTACTTCAGAATATGTTGTAATAGTCACTGACAAATTGCTCCACAAAAAGGTTTCACTAATTTATACTGCCATCAGCAAGGATAAGAATCATTATTTCTCCATCCATGCCAGCATTGACTATAATTAATCCTTTTTAGCTTTTGCCAATTTGATGAAGTGAAAAATGGGGCCTTGTTTATTTTTTAAAAGTTATTAGTGATGTTGAACATTTTTTCACTATTTTGTTCACTAGATATTTGTTTCTTCTTTAGTGAATTGCCTTTTGAACAAGTTACATCTATATTTTTCTATTGAATCATTCTGTTTTTCTTATTGATCTGTAGGGGCTTTTTTTTGAATTGGGGAAATTAGCCCTTTTCCTGTTAGAGAGTCACAAATATTTTCTTCCAGATTATCTTTTCACTTTGTGTATAGGTCTGTTGTCATCATCAAATCTATCAACCATTTCCTTTTGAATTTGGTGTCATGGTTAGAAAAGTTCTTCTCACCCATGATTCAAAATATTCTATATTCTCTTCTAATATTTTAGAGTTGTTGTGTTTATTTTTATGCTTTTGGAATTTGAAATCATCTTTTTTTAAAAATAAATTTTATTGATTTTTTTCACAGAGAGGAAGAGAGGGATAGAGAGTTAGAAACATCGATCAGCTGCCTCCTGCACACCTCCTACTGGGGATGTGCCCACAACCAAGGTACATGCCCTTGACCGGAATCGAATCTGGGAACTTTCAGTCCGCAGGCCGATGCTCTATCCACCGTGCCAAACCGGTTAGGGCTGAAATCATCTTTATCCATTCATGATCATTAGGATAAGTGCATTTTCATTTGATGGTCATCACGAAGATCTTCAGAACTTCAGAAGTGACCAAGAAACCTGAGTCCTTCATTGTAACCCTGAGCTTATGAAAAAGGATAAAGGGTTTCAACCTGACCTTCAAGGTTCTCAGGATTCATCCTGACTTTTCTTTTGGATTTCACAGGAGAAAAGATGCCAGTGACTTTACTTCTACAGCCTTAGAACTGTTACACCCAAGCCAAGCCTCTTCCCTCCTGGTCTCTCCAACCTTATCTCCCTCGGCTCCCTTTGCTCTAGTTACTGATTCTTATTTTCCTGGAACTTTCCTCCATCCTTGCCTTTGCTCAAACTGCTTTGTTCTAATTGCTTTGGGTACCCTTCATTCTGTTCTGTAAGGTCTAACTTAAATGCCTTAGTTCTCCATGAAATCTTCCTTGATTTCTCAAGTCCACCTAAATACTCTTTCCTCTCTACTCTTCAGGCATGGAATGTGTTATGTAGATGATTATATGCCAGGTACTGTCATTATCTGTACAACTAAATGTCTGATTCCCTCACTTGACCTCCCTCAAAGCATCTTTGTAGACTCATGGTGCCTGACACCTGGTAGGACTTAGCCAATGCTGGATGGCTACATGAATAAAAAATTGTAGAGCTGATTATATCTTTCCTACCTCTGCTCTTAGACTCCCTAAAAGTCTAGTAGTGTATGAAGGGAGGGAGAAAGAGTAGAAAAAAGAGGGGGAGGATTGTGAGGTGGTGTTCCTTGGACTGAAATGCTATTTGTAGACCAATTTCTAGTTGCACTGGGAGGAAACAGACACAGGGGCAGGGTTAGTAGAGGACTGGCATCCTGTTCACCCTTTTCTGGTCACAGGTTGAGTTACTACCGGGATTAATACCTGGAAACTGACAAATATGAGTCACTCCTAGGAAGGTGGAGAAATATTTGATTTTCCAGGAAATGTCCCCACTTCCTTCCCATTTCTTTGTCCCCCTCACGCCCTGATTTCTTAAGGATGGGTTGCCTCCATGGGGGCTGGGTGGCACATAGCAGGCTGGCCTAGGAGTCAGTAGTCAGCAATCTGGTCCCCACGTAAAACAAAAAGGCAGAGAAAGAAATATTATTAGATCAGGAGACTTAGGCTGATGGGGAATCTCAGGAAGACCCTGTCTGATGGGGGAGGCTTGTCTCTAGACTCAGGGACAAGCTAGAGGAGAGGCACAGGCCCAACCCTCCAAAGGTTTTTCCTTCCTAATCCTCCATGGCACCATAGACTCCTGATTCCTTTTCTGCTTCTCTGGCCACTACTTTTCCACCTTTTTCTCTGCTTCCTCTTCCCATGCCCTACTTGTCAGTGCTTCAAAGGGTCCTATCATCAGAAGTTATAATCAATCTGAATTTCCATTCTTCTAGCCAAACCTTCAAGAATTTGATTCAGGTCAAAAACCTTAAAGTCATCCTGAGTCCTCTCATTTCCTCACACCATGCAACTAATTTGTGAGCAAAAAAATTTTTTTTAATCCTCATCTGAGGATTTGTTTATTGATTTTTTTAGAGCTAGAAGAAGGGGGAGAGAGAAACATCAATGTGAGAGAGAAACATCTATCACTTGCCTCCTGTACACGCCTTAACTGGGGATCAAACCCAAAACCTAAACATGTGTCCTGACCAGGAATTGAAACAAAAAACTTTTGGTGTGTGGGTGGTCCTCTAACTCAGTGGTTCTCAACCTTCCTAATGCCGCGACCCTTTAATACAGTTCCTGATGTTGTGGAACCATAAAATTATTTTTGGTTGCTACTTCATAACTGTAATTTTGCTACTGTTATAAATTGTAATGTAAATATCTGACATGCAGGATGTATTTAGGCGACCCCTGTGAGTGGGTCATTCGACCCTCAAAGGGGTCGCGACCGACCCTCAGGTTGAGAATCGCTGCTCTAACTGAACCACCCAGCCAGGGCTAATGTGAGCAAATTCTTATGGCTCTACCTTCAAAATGTACCCAGAACCTGACCATTTCTAAACACTTTCACTGCTACTATCACTCTGCTCTACAGTACTATCATTTCCTGCCCGATTACTGCAATAACCATTATGTGCTTCCACACTTGCCCTTTTTGCTCAGTTTAGCAGCTACAGTGATTTTGCTAAAAAGTTAGATCATTTCCCTTCTCTGCTCAAAACTCTCCTACGGTTTGCAGCTCACTTAGAGTAAAAGCCAAAGTCTTTAAAACTATCCTCAAGACACTATGTGATATAGCCAACTGTTACCTCTCTGTCACTTCATCTCCTACTATTCCTTTCTTTGCTCACTCCATTCCAGTCACACTGGACTGCTTAGTTTTCTTGGAACATAGAAGGTGAGCTCCTACCTCAGGGCCTTTATACTTACTGTTCCCTTGCATTGGCCTGGCATTCTCTTCTTTTAGATATTTACATGACTTATTTCCTCACTTCCTTCAGGTGTTCTTTTTGGCCAGGGTGTGTCACTTCCTTCAGATCTTTACTCAGATGTCACCTTTCCCTGGCCATCCTTTATAAATTTCAACCATGGCCCTAGCTGGTTTGGCTCAGTGGAAAGAGGGCTCAGTGGATAGAGCATCTGCCCACAGACTCAAGGGTCCCAAGTTAATTCTGGTCAAGGGCATGTACCTCAGTTTCAGGCCAGTGTGTGTGCGAAGGCAACCAATTGATGTGTCTCTTTCACATTGGTGTTTCTCTCTCTCTCCCTTCCACTTTCTCTAAAAATCAATGGAAAAATATACTCCGGTGAGGATTAACAAAAAAATAAAAAATAAGAAATTTCAGCCATGAATACTTTCTATCTTTCTTGTGCATTATTACTTTTCTTAACAGTACCACCATTATTATTGTTATTTTTTCTAGAATGTAAGCTCTGTGAGAGCAGGGATTTTTTTTGGCGGGGTCTCTTTTATATACTGCCGTATTCCCAGTGTGTAGAACAATGCCTTCTATATTGCAGGAACTCAGTAATACTTGTTAAATGAATGAATAAAAAGTTTATTTGGCCCAGGCTGGGTAGCTCAGTTAACTGGAGCATCATCCTGTACACTAAAAGGTTTTGAGTCAGGGCATATACTTAGGTTGTGAGTTTGTTGACCCCCAGTCGGGTTACATTTGGGAGGCAACCAATTGATGTTTCACTCATATCAATGTTTCTATCTCTTTCTTCCTTCCTCTATAAAAGTAAATAAAAACATATCCTCAAATACAGTACACATGTAAACTCACATTCCCTCCTGAACATCTCTCCAGAAAATTTGCCCTCTTTGGCCAGCTGAATTCCTTATTATTTCCCATAGGGCTTCAGTAAACCTAAGGTCTTTCTTGTTTCTCTTAGTATGAGACCTCCAAAATGTGGCTCCCCTTTCACAATTTCTTCCCCCATAGCTGGTCTCTTAATCTTGTGGCGACAATCTCCTAAATCTTGCTCCAGTCATCCCCTAGTCTCCATCCCCAGTTTCAGCTTTAGTTCAGCTATGGTATCTTATTCAATGCAGAAGATTACCATGTCTTCTCCATTTTATTCACTACTGCCATTTTAATTCTCCTGATGAAGAGCTTTGATCAGCTCACGGCTCTCTCCACAAATCTTTTATGGCTGTCTATTACCTGTTGAATTAAGTAGGCAAATAATATAGAATTCATGATTTGTTATTGTTTGCTTATTCTAACACCCCTCCCACCCCCCGACCCTTTTCTGGAACTCTGTCATTGTGAGTTAAAATTGCTGCACCTTCAAAGTACATATATTATCTCCTTTGGAGTTCTGAAGAGAAAAAGAGGGTTGGAGAATTAAACATGAGAGAGAACACACTCTTTACATACCCAGAAAGTGTAGATGTAAATTTTTCCTAATCTCTTAGCAAAAGTCAAGACTTCCAGATCCATTGATGTAACATTATTATTATTACCCTCTGACTTTTCCTACTTTGAGAGGAGAGGCTTCTATTTCTCCCACCATTTAGGAACTTTTGGGAACAAAGATTCACCTCATTCAGTTATGAATCCGCCAAGCACCTAATTCCAGAAGACATCCAATAAACGCACAAGGCAGTAAAGGTTTGGGATTGGATTAAACTGGTTGAATGCCAGAATTGGAGGATTTCGAGGTCACCTTTCAACCCACTCACTTATAAATGAGGAAAGTGAAGCCGTTATCAGAAAGGATTAAGTCTCCCATCAGGTCAGTGACCCGGGACCAGAAGCGAGACATCCCGATTCCCAAGTAGGTCTCGTTGGTAAATACTTCTGCTTCCCTTCGTGTTTCCAGGCTCTCGGTTCCCGCCAGATAGATGCCTATCTTCCAGGAGTGGTTCAATCCTCTGACTTGGAGGGAACCAGGAGAAGAGGCTAGAGGCCCAGCTGGATGAAAGGAGATGCAGCCGAGGGTAGAGGAGCGAGAAGAGGTCAGAGGTCGCATCTCATCTGCCAACTGCCCTTTGCCCCTTCAACTCTGGTCCCTGCATTCCGACCCACCTCCCTTAATCCGCTTCTACGCCTTCCCCTCTCAGTGACCCTTTCCTTCTGCCTTCCCTTAGGGTCCGCAGGGTTCACCCATTCCAATGGCAACGCCCCTGGTAGGAGCAGCTGTTCGGCACTAAAAGGGAGATTAGTTACGTCACGTCGGCTCCTCCCATTGGCCCGAGGGGCGTGGAGCGAGGCGTCATGACGTCAGACGCCCAAGGGGGCGGAGCGGTGAGGGGAAGGAGGAGGGAAGTAGGACTTCAACATGGCGGCTGTGGTACTGGCTTCGGCTCCGGTGACGGCCTGGCCTGGGGTGGACAGAGTGGACGGTGGTGGTGTTCGCTCTCCCTAGAGGCCGTCAGCGGGGACCGAGCGTGGGAGGTCGGCGGCGCCAGCACCTTTAGGCTTTTGGGACGGCGGCGGCAGCGGCGGCAGGTGAGGGGGGAGGCGCCTCCTTCTGGGGCAGGGAGAGGAGGGGCGGCATTGGAGGTAGGGCGCTGGTCCCGGGATAGGGTGAGGGAGGGAACCCGGGGAAGAGGCTCGAGGCCCAGCTGGGTGGAAGGAGATGCAGCTGAGGGTGTAGGAGTGAGAAGAGGCCGGAGACCCGTGCCTCGGGGAGGCTTCAGGGAGAGGGGCCGGCGTGAGGGGCCAGAGTTGAAGGGGCGGAGGGCAGATGGGTTGTGGGGAAGTGAATTCGGATGAAGGGGACTAATACGTGCGGGACGATAGGCCGTGTAGACATCGGCCTCTCTTGCTGGAGTGAGAGCTCGGTGGGAACTGGAGGATGCCCGGGTGGGGGACCCAGGTGTTATTCCGGAAGGTGAGTGATGTGGAGTTGAGGGTGAGTTGGGGACGCGCGGCGCAGATTGGGTTCTTCCTGAGGTGACGAGATGTGGGAGAAAAAAGGGAGTAGACCAGCTGAGTGATCTTTGGGGATACCTTTGACATGGCCAGGCCTTGTCCAGGTATGTTTACTTTGCCTCTTGTTGTTTCTTGGGTGGAGACTTACCTGTACAGTCCACCTGTACAACCCCCGATCTTTCTTGCGGAACATCAAGTTACAGTTCATTTATTTGATCTGTATCAGTGCTCGCTGGCCTTTGTGTTCCTGCCACATGGACTGGATTCCAGAGTAGCCTCTTAAAGTATGACTGAACATAAAAATAGATTTTATATGAAGCCGAAAATTTTGAGAGTTTTTAGGCACCATGGTTGCAAACCAGATTTGGTCATTTAGTTAACTATTAAATGAGTGTTATCTCTCTATCCTCAGTTGTGTATTAGTATTTGAGAATTAGGTTAGATACAGTGGACGTTTCTCTTTATAAAAATTTTATCAGATTTGGTGGTGGGGAAAGCAGGGCACTTAGTCTTTAGTGATAGCCAGCTCTTCTTTCTGAATTTTTATAGCAAATGTTTTGGGCTGAAAGTGTCCAAAGTCTAAAGAATTACATTGTCTGCATTAACTTTTTTATTTACTTATCTTTTTGTTGAAAGTATTACAGATGTCCCCTTTTTAACCCCCACTTACTCCCACTACCCTACTCCTGACTCCCCTTCTTCACTGCACTATTGTCTGTCCATGGGTTATGCATATGTGCATATAAGTTCTTTGGTTAATCACTTCCTGCCCCCCCCCTCTGAAATTTGTTATTATTTACTTTGAAGTAGAATTTCAAATTTTTTATTTATTGACTAGAGTCGCCGTGTACAAATTTGTACACAGGTGGCGGGGGTGGGGGGGGTCTCTTGGGGTAGCCTGCAGAGATCAGGATTCACCTTATGCCTCCAGCCTTGCAGCCCCACGTGGCACCCTGCCTTGACCTGGCGCCACTCCCTCACCTACTTGACCATCCCACCTGCGGGCGATAGATCAGGGTTGGGCTCTCAGTGCCTAGGAGCTGGGCAGCAGCCCCGCTCCCTACCGCCACTGTTGTGCTGCTGTTGTTCGTTTTTTGCAGGGTCATTGGCAGGGCGGGAGGCCCCCCACCCCCGCCCCCCCCCCCCCCCCCTGCACCGGCCTTGGCCTGGCACCGCCCGCTCACTTGCTCCACCATCCTGCCGCGGTCCTGCTCTCTTGGGGGCCCATCGGGAGGAGGTGCTGCCCACTGCCAGCGCTGTGTCACCCCCTGGTGATCAGTGCATGTCATAGTGAGCAGTCGAACTCCTGGTCTTCCAGTTGAGGTCTCCCAGTCCAACTTCCGTTTGAACAACTCCCTGAGAGGACAATTTGCATATTAGGCTTTTATTATATAGGATTTTAGAGAGAGGAGGGGGGAGAGAAACATCAGTTTGTTGTTCTAATTTATGCATCCAGTGGTTGATTATTTTATGTTTTTTTATTGATTTTAGAGAGAGGAAGGGAGAGGGGCAGAGAGAGAGAGAAATGGATGGACTGCTTCCTGCAAGACCCCCACTGGGAATAGAGTGCACAACCTGGGCATGTACCCTGACTGGGAATTGAACCAAGTGCTCAACCAACTGAGCCACAGTTGGCCAGGACAGTGGTTGTATCTTGTATGTGCCCTGACCAGGATGCACCACAACCATGGCATATCTTGATGACGCTCTAACCAACTGAGCCACCCAGCCAGGGCTTTAAGTGGAATTTTATAAATTAAATTTTTGTTTCTAACCCATCCTATTCATTTTTTTTCTGCCCTATTCTTTCTGTTACTTTTTAAACATTTATTGAATGCCTATTTTTGCATTAATAAGTCATTAGAATTATGGAAATGGGAAAGTTTGTTTCTTTAGTGAGCATCTCAATCACTGCGTAGCAAATAACTTGCTATGGCCTCATTGGAAGATAAAGTGTTACCTATATATATATATATACATATAAAAGCCTAAGTGACCGTTATGATGGAACAACTAGAACGACCAGACTTCTGGCCAGTAGCTATGATGCGTACTAACCCAGACCTTGTTGTTGGGGCCCTGACAGCTCCAAATCTGGTTCTCCTGCACCCCGGACCCAGACAGGAGGGAGCAGGGAGCCTGTTCCTCGCAGAATCGGCTATTGGTTAGCTTGCTGCTGGGGCCAACTTCCTGTGGTCCCTCTCCATGGCTGGCTGGCCTCCCTGATCGGCCCCATCACTGGCCAGGCCAAGGGACCCCACCCGTGCATGAATTCATGCACCGGGCCTCTAGTTTTAGAAATAAAGACAGGAAGAAAATTAAAGTATATGAATAAAAGAACTTTCTGAATTTTTCTTTTGTATTTGATGCATTACCTCATTATGGCATATTTTATGTATATCTGAGAGATTTTATTTTTCATTTTGATTTTGAAGAAGACAGTCACAGTATCCTGATAAAATAATATTAGGTTGGTAAACAATTCTCAATAATGGTTGCTGGATCACATTTATCTATGACTGGCAAATGTCACTTTATCTTGTTTATCTTTTCTTTTTGTCTTGACTAGAGTAAGGTATTTAAAATGAGATTTCAAAGCTTAATTCAGTGACTAAAATTCTCTCAAGTATTTTCTGCATTATAGGTGAATTTTCATTAGCCCAGAGTGTAGTTGTCAGTATTATAAATATTTCCTGTTCTCTGATGATACTGTTTAATGTTTGGAGTTTTTTCACATGTAGATTATTTTAGTGTGAACTTTTTCCCATAGACCAACCATAAAACCAACCATCAGTTCATCATTAATCAGGTAATTTTCCTTAAACAATCTTTCTCAATACATGCATAAGGTATTGTTTAGTATCTTAATGTATTAAATAAGCTTTTTCTTAGGGGAAAAATATTTGAAGTTTAGAAATTAACTGGATTTAGTTTCTCATATAGCATGAGAATCCCTACTTCTGTATCATGAAGATAAGTGAAAAAATTTATCCTCTTTTCCAGAATCTTAATTGCTTATACAAAAAAGCTTTTCAGTTAGAGAAAGAAGTAAGGAGCAGATTCTAACCTATAGCCACAATTTCTTATAGTATTGGAAAATAATTTGAATGTAAGAGTAATGTTTTCCTATAAATTGAGAGTTGTCATTTCAGGCTTTAAAAATTTAGGTGAAGGTAGCAAGATTTCCAAAGGGAAAGGTGCTAACACTGGGTGTATGCTGATGAGCTAGCCATTGTTAACACTTTACATAACTTAATCCTTACAGTTCGATCTGGTAGGCAGGTTATGATATGCATCCTTTTCAGTGTTGAGGATCAGAGAATTAAGTAATTTAAGGTTACAGCTATAAAGTGGTTAGATTTGTCTAATTTTAATACCCATCTATTACACCATTTTGTCCCTTTTATGTGGTCACAGAGCCATTCTAATTCCTGTCAAATAAATTTAAAGTGTAAGCACTTTTTAATTTTAAAGTTATGTCTTTTAAAACTCCTTCTCATTGAAATAGTAGTGTGACTATAATGATAAGCACTTCACTAAAATTTTAAGTCAATTAAGATGTCATCAGTATTCTAGGAGTAAATGACTATTTTTGTACTTAACAAAATAAGCTAGAGAAACTGGATAAGGGACTAAAAGTTTTCTTACTTGTATTGCTGAGTCAGGTTGGACCTAGTTTATTAAGGGCCAAAATTTGTATTTGGCAGTAATCCGAACATGTTCTCAGAATTCTGGATTGGTCATTATCAGTTGCCTAATACTTACCAAACACTTCCAGTTTTTGAGTCATTGAATTGGCTCATGGTAAATGTGAATATTGTGCTTATGGAGTCAAGAGCCAGCAGTGTGTGTTTTGGTTGCTTCACTTCCTCCCTAATACGATATTGTCAGACTTGAAAATTTTTTTCTAATCTAGTGTGTTTGAAATGGTATCTATTATGTTTTTATTAGCATTTTATGAAATTGAGCATCTTTTCAGATGTTCATTGGCCATTTGTGTTCCTGTGAAGTTTTATGCCTATTTTTATTGAGTTGTTTCTTTTTCTGATTGATTTTTAAGAATTCTTTATATACTTTGAATACTACTTATTTGTTAATTTATGGGTTGCAAATATCCTTTCAATTTATGACCTGTCGTGAGACTTCTAAGGATCTTAGTGAGAATGTCAAAGACTTGGACCAGGGCTTGCTTCAGTGGGGCTTTGGTGCTCACTGAGTCTGCCTCTTGAGTGTGTCACTTGTGGATGTGTAGAGTTGTAACCTAGTATGATCTGAAGCTGTCCACTGGGCGCACTGACTCTAGGGCCTCCAGGGAGGTGCAAAGTCAGCCACTACCTGGGGTCACCTGGCAAGAGCTACAGAGGGATTTGCAGATGACTTGGAGGCCCAGCAGTGAAGCAAAGTTAGTGCCAGGTCTTGGGTCTTTTATTGATAGGTTTGGGGTACACTGTCACCAAGCTGTAGCTTGTTTGAGAGATTTTAGCAAAGTCTGAAACCTGAGCCAGGACAGGCCATTCAAATGGAAAAGCTGCTACAAACAGCTTGGGTGGGGCTGCAAATTGGATGGGGCAGGGTCTCAGGGAATCACCAAGGCAGAGCAAACAGTGTGCTCCAGGCTGATGGAGACTCAAGATAGGCTGCCAGTCAGCCCTGCGAAGGGAGGTTCCAGCACAGGAACAATGACCCCTGTGAGCACCCCGTCTGGGATAAAGCCACCCCCAAGTTCCTGCCCCAATGCCAGACAATCCAGTTCCTCCCCATATGTGTCTGGGTTCCCCAAAGCCACCTGGTGCTGGAAGTTCAAGTAAGTTCTTGCACAGGCCCTTTAAATGGGACACCTGGGTTTTCAGCAGCCTCCTTGTCACTCAGCCACAATCCCTGCTGGTTTTTACAGCCTGTAGATGCGGGGGACTTCTCTTCCCAGCTCTGGGACCTGGACTGGGGTCTGGTGTGGGGCTAGGACCTCTTGTTCCTCATGGGTGGCCTCCTCAGAGATGATTTTCTTCCCAATTAAAAAAATGGCACACGTGGGTGTTGGACCGGCCCATTCTACCCCTCCTACCAGTCTCAATGTGCTTTCTTCTTCTCTAGTTATAGGACTTCCATTCAGCCAGGTTTCGGGTGGTTCCGAATGATGGTTGTTTTATATTTTAGTTGTAATTTTGATGTGGTTATGGGAGGCAACGAGTACAGGCATTTATCAACTCCACCATCTTGGTTCTATTTATATTTTTCTTTTTTAAACATTTTTTATTTTGTTTTATTTTTCTTTTTCCATCACTGTTTATCCCCTCTATGCTCTCTACCACCTTCACTCCCCCCTGCCCCAGTCTCCACACTGTTGTTCATGTCCATGAGTTCTCTGTTTTTCGTTCAATCTCTCCACCTTCCTCACCTCCTGACCCCACCCCAGAGCTATCTCCATGTTCTTTATCTATGAGCCTGTCTCTGTTTTGTGTGGTAATTCAGTTTGTTCATGAAATTCCACATATAAGTGAAATCATATGGTACTTGTCTTTCTCTGACTAGCTTATTTCACTTATCATAATGTTCTCCAGATCCATCCATGCTGTTGCAAAGTGTAAAATTTTCTTTCTTTTTACGTCAGTGGTAGTATTCCATTGTGTAAATATACCACAGCTTTTTTATCTACTCATCTATTGATGGACACTTGGGTTGCTTCCAAATCTTGGCTATTCTAAACAACGCTGCAGTGAAATAGGGGTGCATATATTTTTTCGAATTATTGTTTCGGGCTTCTTTGAGTATATTCCCAGAAGTGGAATCACTGGGTCATAAGGCAATAACTTTTAGTTTTTTTGAGGTAACTTTCCACAGTGGTTGCACCAATCTGCATTCCCACCAACAGTGTATGAGGGTTCCCTTTTCTACATCCTCATCAGTACTTGTTAGTTGATATATTGATGATAGCCTTTCAGACAGGTGTGAGGTGATATCATTATGATAGAGCTTCTTTAAAACATCCCTGATGTTAGCTGGTTTCCAAAATTATGTATTAAATCAGGAGCTCAAGCAGCCTCTCCCCAGCCATTTGCCTCTCAAAAACAGCTGCTTCTTTGATGACCGATGATATCCAATAATACCAATAAGTATTAGGACACCAAGATGAAAATGCTCATTTCCTGAGCATATTCACAGCTCTCATGGTTGGATGCTTAGATACTGCTTCTTTCCCATCAAAGATTTAAGAAAAAACACATTTTTGGTATGTGCCTATGTGGGAAGGTTCAGGCTGTCAAGAATCTGGCTTCTAGGTTCAAAAGTCTCACTGTATTGTTGTGGTTTATCTGCATAATGATGACTCTAGAGCCTGTAAGAGCCTATGAAATGTCTGCTGCACATATAAAAGCTTAAATCATTTTCATTATGGTTTGTTGCTTCTTTGAAAATCACCCCTAAAAGAACCCCTGTAGCCCTTAGCTAGGATCTTTCCATCCTTCTCAGTTAATTTGTATAAATATTGCAAGGTATGGATTAAGGGTGGGTATAATGATATCATTATGCCATTTCCACACTGTCTTTTAATTAGTGTAGCCTCATAGTAAGTTAATGGTAAATTCTCCAACTTTCTTCTTTTTCAAAATTGTTTTGGCTATTATATTTCCTTTGCCTTTCCGTGTAAATTTTAAAATTAACTTGTCTGTTTCTTTGATATATATATTGATATTTTTACAGAGAGGAAGGGAGAGGGAAAGGGATAGCAAGTTAGTAGAAACATCAATGA